GCGCCCACGCCCACGGCGCCCCGCTCCATGCCGCCCCCAGCGCCGCAGCCCGACCCCGGCCACGGCCCCGACTCCGGCCCGCCGGAAGTCAGCGGCTCTCGCGAGAGCCGCCCCGGCCCTGAGCCGAACCCCGCCCCGCGCTTCTACGTCACAGAACCGCGCCCTCCCCCAGCGGCCCAGGGGGCGGGGCTGGCACCGGGCGGCCTCCAGCTATCCCAGCATGCACTGCGTTCAGCACAGCCAGCGGGGCGGGGGGGGGCCTCACCCAAAGGCCTTGGGGTGGGAGTTGATGCAGGCCCTGGAGCCCTCCTGCCCCGAGCACCTGGTGGTGGATCACCTCGCATCCTGCCAGCAACCAGCACTGGGGGTCAGGGGAGCAGCATCATGTCCCGACTTGGCCCATCCCCGCGCTGCCAGGGCCCATCCGCCCTGGCTTGGTTTAAGGCATGATGGAAACCAACCACAAACTTACCACCATTTTTGTGCCAAATTTGGATCTGTGGCTGAAGGACTAGACTCTTAAATCATCCCCGAGTCCCATCAGTGAGCCATGGGTGAACGGAGAGATTGTTCCTGCCACCTTAAACGGAGGGATCCTTGAACAGAGGGATCGTTCCTGCCACCGACAAACTGCCCTGCGTGACAATTAACCAGACATTTTACTTGCTCACCTCCCAAGGACAATATCAGAGCCCCCCTATTGCAACCAATCTCACGTGTCCCATGCAACCAGCCTGCCTCACTGCTGTGGCCCCTCCAAGCTGACAAGACCAGGCACAGCAACAACTCGGTCCCAGAGGAGGGAACTGATCTTGCAGTCTGGGGTCAGATCAACCTTCAACATGCACGCAGCTCCAGCCAGCAAGATAGTAGCGTGCGTCAGAGGACCACAAGGGAAATGGCAACTCGATTATGTGACCATGGGTGGACCCGGTGCTGGTCTCAGCGCAGAGATCCCAAGCAGCAGGTCACAAAGACGGGAGGAAAAACAAACGGTTGGGTGAATAAAGTCTCGTGCCGCCACTACGAGGCACCATCACACATCTTTGGTGTCAGCAACACAGCAAACCTGAGGGGCACCACAGCAGTTCACACTGAGGACTTGGCCATGACCAGTATCGAACAGACACAGCCCTCCCAGGCCAGCACATCCACCCTGGTAAGTCCCAGCCCTTTCTACTGCCGCTGGTGCTCCCCCAGGAAGTTGATATGGGCTCAGACAACTACAACCAGGAGGTTTCTGCATCCTACTATATTCAGCATCCTAGCCACCTATCCCCCTCAAGCAGTGATTCTCAACCAGGGTGTCAGGGCACCCTGAGGTGCCTTGAGATCCTTTCAAGGATGCTGTGAAATGTTAGCACTGTTAGGTGTGCAGATGTGATTTATGAGATAACTCCAGAGGTTTCAAGTAGGAATCCATAACATTAAAAGTATTCTGACTCATTGTGGTCTTTCTGAGTTCTTTGGAATAGAAAAAAAAACACCAAACACTCCATTTTTCCGTTGTCAGAAGCAAATGAAAACTTAGAACTGGCATTTTCTGATGTGCGTCTCAAGTCTATTAAGTGATGCTTCAAGACTAAAAAGGTTGAGAACCACTGCACTAGACAGACCAGGTACTCCAGAAGAACCAGCTCTCTACCTCCCTGTGCTAGTGTGAGGGGTGGGGAGTGGAGGCTGGGAGGTTAAAGTGGGGCCGGGGCAACAAACCCAACTAACCCCCCCAGCCCAGCACAGGGAATGCAGGGGGCTAGCAGGTTAAGCTGCAGGCCAAATCCAGCTGCCTTGAGTGGAAATGGTCCCCCTGCCAACACTTCCCAACTCCAGCCTCATTCCCAACCCCCTTACAGTGCTAGCCCAGCAGCACTCAGCCAATGATTTGCCCCCAACCCCTTGCCACCCAAGACAGACCAGGCTTATAAATGCCCCTCCAGCATCCCCCACCCCTGCATGAGCTGAAAAAGACTACATGAACCATTGCATTCAGATTACACTGTTTACTGGGGTCTGGTACTTCATTACAAACATATCAAGTGTTTTTGACAACAGACGAACTGAAGGATGTGCAGAATGGCAGGGTCTCTTGGTCCTTGGGTTCTGCACCACAGAGCTCCTCCCAGCACCATGCCCTGTGATGAGCTAAGGGAGGGGGGGGTGGAATGGGGAGAAGGGGAGCATGAGTCAGAGCAGCAGCACAAATGTGAAGGACATTGAAGCACAATCCCTCCTGCAATGATTTTACCATCCCCATCCAATTACCATTCTCCACCCACCCACTTAAAATGTCACCACCCACCACTTTGAACAACCAGTGGAGAGGCCCCATCTACAGTACACTTAAGTCATGACTTAGCTGATTAATCATGTCTTAAGTGGTCACCCAGCCACATGTTCAGTTACTGGCATGATTAAAAAAGAAAAGAAAAAAGCTAGGAAGTTATTCTACAAAATTTGTAGCAACTTTGCAGCTGCACCTATCATGCCATTACTTAAATGTGTAGCCAGGGGGCCCTGTGACTAAGAGCCCCGTCAGCTGAGCAAAGCTCCCAGCTGCAGGAAGCCATGTGTACCCCCATGTCTCAGAGCCCTGCCAGCTGAGGGGGCTCCTGGCTGCAAGCTTGCTTCTTGCCCATGCAGGGGGAGCCTGGGATTGGGTTCCCCCTGCGCCAGCAATAAGGCATGATGGGATCTTATCCATACCACAGTCACACCTCCTGCAAATGCACATGTAGCATGGCTGGACAGGTGATTGTGCATTAGATCCCACTGCACCCTTACCTGCACCAGAAGAGCAGCCCAGAAGGACCAGACGTTGTGCTTGCTGGCCATAGTCTGCCTGTTCTCTCAGGCCCCCTGCAGCAGAAGGGCAGCAGTATACCCAGCCACCTTGTGAGCCACTTTAGAAACAAGATACTAGTTTCAGTGGTGCGATTTCTTTGCTGTGAGACATGCTGCAGTACACCCTGAGCCACACCAACTGCATCATATGTTTCTACCCTCAGGGCAGTACAGGTCTGGGCCACTGCAGATGTCAGGTCTGCTTAGGCCACAGCAGCAATCTTGCCACCCCCCACCCGCTCCCTCCTGATAATGTCCTTTCCTGGACCATGTGCCCACCCATGACAACTGCTCCAAAATTTATCTGACTGTGGCAGGACCAGCCTTGCCCCAGCGCCACAGACAGGTCCCACGTTGTTTGTGTACCGTCAACACCACTCCAGGGCCTCAGCTGTATCCAGCACTGCTTGAAGCTTGCCTAGGAAACCAACCAACCAGACCACAGAGAGAAATAGAGTTTATTTCTTTGATTAAAAATCTCAGCAAAAAGTACAGCCTGCTCCAGCACCAGGGCTCTGGTCCTCCCGCTGTCAAATAGACTAAGAAGGGAAATCCTTTGCCCCATTATGCCTTGCAGTTGGACTGTTCACTTTTAACCTCAGTTCTGCACAAGAGTTGAGTCAGACCAGAGCGAAACTCAGCAACAAGTACAGTGTTAAAATGAATGACGGTGATGAACAGGAACAGGACAGCAGTGCTCTTGGCAAGACAGTCCTACCACTGAGTGCTTCCCACTGGAAAAGCAAAGTTACTGCAGCAAAGAAAAGTCAAAAGGTTCAAAGTCCTCTCGAAAGGCTTTGGACAATGCCTCCTCCTCTTCTCTGGTGGACTTGCACTGCCTCCAGTCTGCCCGATCTGGAATATTCAGGATAGCTTCACTAGCCAGGACTTCCCTGTAACCAAAACAATCAGCTGCAGAACTGTTGCAATCTTTGAAGTGCAAGCACATTGCTAGAAATAATAAGACTACAAAATCAAGTACTGTGGGGGCTATCTAAACACTCATGTTGAATTTAATAGAAAAACTGCCATTTAATTCACGGGGAACGCATCTGAATTGCATTTGAAAGGAAGCAATTCTTATTATTAATTTAGAAATAGGTCTATATAGAGGCATTACCTACTTCTTTGCTAAAAAGGACAATTTACTGGTAAAAAGTAAATGCAACTAAGACAATACTTTGTACAAACATGATTCTTAATCTCCACACTGAACTTTTCCAGTTCAAACATTTTAAAACGATTTGAATGTAGGGACAGAGATCAGAATATCAAGTAGCAGGTGCACAGAATTTTTGCAGAGGGCAAGAAAATGCAAGCCTCATTCTTTAAACGGAAGGTCTTCTGGTAGTAAGCACAAATATGGGAGTCAAGAGATGTGTATTCACTCTTTGCCATCATACTGCTCTATGATATTGGGTATGTTTGTAAATAAGGATAATACTTACCCCACTTTTGTGAGCAACTGAGATCTAAAACAAAGATTACGCTTAATAACTTACTGTAAATAAGACAAAGTAGCTGGTAATTCCGGGTTCTACGTATCCCCAGCTTCCTTCTCAATGGTTATTGGTTAAAAAAAAGTATGGGGAGCATATTCAATACATATGTTGTTATTTTACACAAAAGAATTAAGAAGGGAGAAAACAAACCTTCCAAACTGCAAGGGAAAATTTTTCTTAATACGATGAAAAAGCTTCTCCCCTGTATCCAGTTCAACATAAAAATATGGTGTTCCTGGCTGTGCAATCTAGAATAGGGAAAGGAAAGAAATTCTGAAACATTAATCCGCATTTAACAGACTGACAAAGCTTGGACTCTGAGAAAAATGTGAAAGATGCTTCTCTCACAGGAAATGACCAACAGCTACATAATTGGCAAGTAGCTGATCTTTAACCACATACCGTTTCAATAGTTCAACTATAATTCCATCCAAAGTACCTGGAAAAAAACTTGTATAAAGTATGTAATGAATATAGTAAAAAATGGCAGTAACTGACAGGAGAAGCTAGAAGAATCAATAGGCAGAAATAAAAACCACGAGATGATTCATCTTTCCAAAAGCCATTTTTTTATCCAGTTCCTATGAGAAACCTGCAGCATGCCTGCCCACACGTGTGCACGCACGTGCCACCCGCAATCACCGTCTTAGCTTTTAGCAATTTTTATTTGCGACAGATCTAACAAGTTAACATTTTATATCAGGTGAATGTTAACCCTAGCATGATAGCGTTTGCGATTTTTCCTAAGATTGCCCACCTGCCTCAATGTGCCTGTCATTATGGCAAGCAAAAACATTTTTGGACAAGGTCTTTACAGCATTTGTTAAACCTGAAATTCACCTCATTGATGGCTGAAGCCTCATTTCTGGCTTTCCCATGCCTCTAAGCTTTAATTTCTAGACACTCAGTAGAACAGCAATAATTATCCTGTAAAAAACATAAGGGAACTCCTAGCAAACTGTGTTTTGAGGGGAACTGCTGAGAGCACCTGTCTACAAGAACCTCAAGGGATCTGCCTCAAGTAAAAGGAAGAGAAAGTCACATGGGCAATGTTAATGGCTCCTTAAGACAGTCTGCCTACAGCCATTACTTTCAGAGCTACAGAATACCAGCATATTGCAATATGCTAAGTATCTGCTATTCCAGTTGAAGCCATGTGAAAAATCAAGCTTACAGTCCCTTTTACAATAGCTTAACTTTATCATGCAAAGCTACCTTTAGATGAATTACCAAAGCAGAAAAATGCTGAGGCAGAGAAAATGACCAATGAAAGTCTTATTTCTTACTTGCTTGATGTCCGAGTGCTCTGGGAGTTCTAATAATTCAATCTGTTGTTCCTGTGCTTGTACAATAAAGGACTCTTTAATATCTTCAGAAGCACAGCAGGTGAGTGATACAGGAATCACCTAGAGCACATAGATGCCATTTTCATAACAAGACAAGTAAACAAAACATACTACTGACTTAAAAAAGGCAATAAATCCATCATTGGGGTTTGAACACCCCTCAGTATTGCTCATCATCATGCAAAATAGGTGATCGCCTATCTCTACAGGCTTAAACTTATGAGACACATCTATTTTCTGTGGGAGGTAGAAGCATAACAGAAAACTGAAAGTCCTAGAACAGTTTTCAAGACAGTCCTCCTCCTCAATACTCTATGTGGTAGTTCGAGGCTGATCTGATACTGTAACTGATCCGCCACAGGAAGACTACCACAATGCATCCTTCAGTATCCAATGCAGCAGAAACTAATCGAGCATCACTATCTGAAGATGTTGGCAAAAAAATCTGTGTGTTACAGCAGGCACATGAGGCTCCCAGCCTGTTCAGTTACACAAACAGTAGCGGTACACATGCCAATGTAAAGCTAATAAAACTAAAAGAGAAAGAAAGCCTTATATGGAGTTCTTTTGGCTTTTATCAGTTGCCCATACACTGCCCCTCAAACTCAGATCTCTGCATCTGCCGTAATAGGAAACATTAAGTATGGTCAAGCCACTGCTTTCTAATAAATAACAATGCTACAAGTGCTTTACTTTTGGCCTGCTCTTATCTTTTGATAGGTGGACTTCTATCCACAACTTGGGATGCCATTGAAGGGGTGGAGGGAGAAAAAGAGGCAAGCTTTAAAAGGAACAGGTTACATATAAGCCTAAGCATACACTGTGTTAGGTTGTAACCTTACCTGCAATTGTAGGTGCTGACTTCTGTAATTTCTTTCAAACAACACATATCTTTTTCCTTTGCTTTGAAAAAACTTCTTTAGAGCAGATTTGTATTTCTCTACTTCTTCCACTACCTCTGAAGAAAGTTCAACTACAGACTGATAATGCCCAATAGGTAAAATAAGAACATGATCATTGGACAAACCACCTTTGGCAAGGGCAAGATAGCACTGAAACAAAACAGAGGGTCAGAAACACATGAGCAGCTTTTCACAGTAGAGTATTACCATGCTATGTTCATTTGCTCCTGAAGACAAAATACATTCAGAGAACCATGCTGTGGCTCAGAGCATGAAGATTCAAAAAAAACTCTATGCCCTACTTAAGAAACCATTTTGTAGCACTCTATCAATTATTAGCTGACTTAGAAAAGGATAAAGAGTTGAAAAAATACTGCAGATGAATGGGAAAGCTGTTATGCAGGCAGCACAACTGAATTAGGCTTCAGTGAAGTGACAACAAATAGGATTTCTGGATATGATGCAGCATGGAAAAGAGCGTCCTCTTGGACATTCATATTTGAATTTAAAGTAAACAATAAAAGAGTCTGATTGTACAAACACTAATATTCAGTTCAAGATTGGGTTATAATACAACTGAGTCAACTTTAGGCAAAATGGAAAAGCCAACTATTAGCACTAATTCAACTTAGTTAATGAATCAGGATTTGGGTGATCCTTTATCAAGAGATAAAGTGACTTAAAGAAAAAGATCAACACAGAGTATGAAGTAGAAGATTTATTCCTTGAATCCAGAGAATCAAAACAATTAATTACTTGAGCTGAATTTTTGCTGAAAATCAAAATATTTCCCTAATGAAACAGATTCTTAGCCAAGACCACCTTAGGCTGAGCCTATGCTAGAAAGGTTGTTAGTATAGCAATACAAGGAAGCCCTTCTATTGTACTCATAGCTTATATCATAAATCAGCAAAAAAATGATTTGTCAATCTAGCTTAACCTTATTTCATGCGGGGAACCAAGACATTTCTACACTGCAGACTTCTGTTAATACATCTGTACAGATGAAGTTATACTAGCAGAACTGAACTCTTACTGCCACTGCTTGTTTTGTTTCTGAGAGAACAATATTACTCTACTGCAGGGGCAGGCAACCTTGTCCGGCTGCAGGCCAGGACAACTCACGCCAGGTCAGAGGTGGGCAGGTGCAAGAGCACCTCAATGCCAAATGCTGCCGAAGCGCCACGTCCATGGCTGGATCCAATGGCTCTGTGTACTGGATTCATAGCCTGTGGGCCATACGCTGCAGGCCCGTTCTACTGATACAGAGCTAAGCTTCCCAAGGATAGGTAGAGTAGCATGAACAACACTTTGCTCCAATACAATTTTTGGATAGAAATACCACAAAAGCACTCATAATATGGATATGGCCTGAGGTATACTGTCAGTTGTATGCTTAGATATGCTCTCATACCTAGCTACACTAAGACTTCTGCTAGTGTTGAAGCATAATAACCACATATCACACCTACTGAACATTACTATGCATTGATAAAAGATCTACCACAGACCTGATTTTGCAGTGATCCTCCAAGCATAAACCAAGATAAAGCAATCCTGGATGAATAAATAGTAAACTAGTAAACCATCCTCCTGGGGTTCTCTTCACTTAGTTAGGGACATGGGTTTTTTAATTTTTTTTCTGAAGATGACATGGAACTCTAATCACAGAAGTGCAAGCTGATGCCACATGCTAATGGCATCCTTTGTTCAAGCAGGCTGTCAGTGCCTGTTGTGCCAAGAAGGAGAATGCAAGTTGTGAAAATATAATCAGGTTTCTGTGACCTTTTGCTGCCTAACATCCCTTTACTGCATAATTTAGGACATCAGACTGCAGTTTCAAGTCAGCTGTTACACAGCAAGATATGCTGTCACAAGCTTCAGTAGGGCACTGCATTTTTATGTAAAATGTGTGTTCCAGAAGGTACTTACATGTGTACCGATACTAACAACCAAGTGCTTCTCAACCTCAGGGCTGGCAAGGCAAAACCAGCAAGGACCCGTTGGCTGGGCTTTAAATGGGGAAAAAGAAAGAAACAAACAAACCCATAATTCTTAGTGTGAATAGTTCATTCTAAGCGCGAGTCACAGTGCAACACTCAACAGTTAAAATGCTTATATTAACATAAAAATACTCTTTTTGATTAGTAACTGGAAAGTGTACTACAGCTGCTGGCCAACATCCTGTCCATGTATGGAATGTAACATTGCTGCAGATGTCAAGGGACACAATTATGATAAGCATGGTATGATCACAAAAGAACTGCTGCTACTGTACAACTAGCCAGCAGCAGCATTTTTAAGCCAGCTGGGTGTGTGTCTTTAATAATAATGTGTCAGGAAGAATCCAGAAGAGAGTTCCAGCTGACAATAATCCCACATCTGGAAATATAACTATTACAGCACACAAGATATCAGAGAACGCACCAAATTCTTACGCAAACAGAAGAGGTTAGGTTATGTACTGCACAGAGGAGTGCAAGGTCTGAGGCCACAGGTACACTGGTGAACTCATACACCAGTTCAGGTGTATCATCAATAGTTTTAGGGTATAGGGAGATAGATGTAACACTTGATTTGATAACAAAGGATGCTGACATAAGTGGCTACAGTATAATAGCTATGTCTACAGGAGTCTAGCAATAAGAGCAGAGCAAAACCACAGCTCCTTTAACCCTGTTTCATTCAGGATCAAAATGAAGGTGCATTAGCTAACTACAGGATCATGAAGAGCTAACACTGTGTTCCTGAGTGGCAGCCTCCCCTCCCTTTTAAACTTAAACCCTTTTAAATTATTTATACAAATAAAGAAATTAGTTTCCTGCATGTAATTTAAAATGTAATCTTTTATAAGCATGTGAATTGCAAAATGTGAAAACCCACTTTGTTTCCATGTTAATGGCACCTTTTGAAACGTAAATAAAACAGCTTCTCTCTTTTTTTTTTTTTTTTGCAATTCTGAAACTTGTGAGCATCTCTAATTTAAAACCAATTAAATGAATAGATTAGGGCTCTGAATAGGGCTGAAACACCCTATTCTGCTTCTTAGGTCTTGCCTCTTAGGAGTGGACAACTGCACTTTGGGGAAACGGGCAGAACCAAGATAGCTTTCCCTCTGAAGTCCCCACTGGCTCCTTTAGATCAGGGGTGGGCAAAATGGCAAATCTGGCCAGCAGCTGGATTTCATTTCCCAGTAGCCCCTGCCTGCGTGGCTGGGACCAGTTTCCATGGAGACTGGCCCCAGCAGCATAGGCAGGGCGCAGAGTTGCTCCAGAGTCCAGCTGGGATCTTGCGGCAGTGACAGCATGATCCAGAGCCAGGGCAAAGCCGCAACCTTCTGCCTGCATGCCCCTGCCCAGAGCGTGCAGGCTGCAGATTGTGGCTCTGGCCTGGCTCCGGATCACACTGTCACCAATGCAAGATCCCAGCCAGGCTCCAGAGCAGCTCCGCGCCCTGCCACACACCCTGCCAGTGTGGGTGGTGCTATGGGAGGGCTACAGCCACCCCAAAATTCCCTGTAACCCCCCCTCTCAGCGGTGCTGCTGCCACTGCCTGTCCTGCACAGGTGGCAGCAGCTGACCCCACCCCACTTCCACCCACAGCACAGCCCCCCCAGCAAGAGGCTGGCACTGCTGCTGCCTGCCAGCACTGCTGGGGCCAGTCTCCATGGAAACCCTGGCCCTGTGCTACCACAGCATGGCTGTTGCTGGAGCCTCCATGGAAATTGGACCCAGACACGTGGGTATGGGGCTGCTGGGAAATTGAGTCTACTGCCAGCTGGATCCAGCCCAGACTTTGCCTCAGACACTAAAATTTAAACACGAGTTTCTCACTTATGACACATACTTTTTCCTTCAAATCAGCCAGCCCCCCTTGCTAATTGGGGTATTTGTGTTAATCAAGGAAGCTAATTTTCTGCCTGGGATAGTAGCACCCTGCTTTGATTCCTGCTCCACAATGCAGCAACTGTTACCATTCAGACAGCAAGGGAAGGGGATCAAAGTGGCACACAGGGAAGATGCATTGTGGAACACCTGCCAAAAAGGCTGGCCCTCACTGCCATAAGATGCAATTATTTTGTTTTAAGCACTATGGTTCTGTCATCACTGATCACTTTTCTGTCGCTCGCATCACTACTGTTTGTATCTTGTATTTAAAGCATAAAACTTTGTGGGGCAAGGGACCAGTCTTTCCCTTATGCTTGCACAGGACCTACCTGCAATGGCTCTCTCCTTCCAGTTGAGTGCTCAGTTACCACCACCACCCCATATTTTGCTCTCAATTTTTCTAACAATAGCTTCAAGGGAGCTCCTAAAAAGCATAAAGGTTCTATACTCACGAGGTTTCCTAGCCTGTTTGGGCTGGAAATGTCTTCCCTCCTTCCCATCTGAGGGCCGCTTCCTTCCTTGCTGTTTGCTCAAATCAAAGAAAAACTGACAAGCTGGTTCTTCCTGTTAAGAAAAATAAAACCAAAGCTGATCATCTCTAAGATTATCTATAAATCAGAGACTTAGAAAAGGTGTTCATTCATTTGCTGAGTAAATATGTTGAAGACTAAATGCTTTGACTTTCTCTAGTCAATGAAGCCTCTGTCCACCTAGTTACCACAAGTTCTGCTAATGAAGGGGGTTTTGAAATGTTTTCTATAACAGCTATTCCTTCCCTGCTTCCTCTTTGTTTTATGGATTATTCAGATGCTATTTTGCATTTCCTGCCTGGTGCTAGTTCTAGGCCTTTTTTTTCCTAAAGGCAAAAAGCAGATCATGTATACAAAAGGTAGAACATACAGTACCTCTGCACCTAGGAGCAAGTTTGCCTTCTGTGCCTCTTTCCTAGATTTTCGATATGGGTTTTCAGTGACATCCTGTGGTTGTTTCACTAATTCTGCAGAGTCCATTGAGTTCATTGGGAGAATGCTAAATGCATAGAGATACTGGGAAAAAAATAAAACCAGCTTAAAGGAACTGAGATTCAGCCAAGCCAAAAGGTTTTGTAAAGTCAGCTCCGAAAATAAAATGCTGGCCTCACAATGTGTGGTCTGCTATGCAAACAAAAATGTAATGAAGACAGAAAATATTAAATCAGGCCAGAAGAGGACATGTATTAGAAGGCAAATGAAACAGGTCACTTGTGCCAGAAAACAAAGAACCAATAGCCAACTCTACATGCTTAAGTGGCTTGTTCATTTTACATTATCATTATTTTTTAAGAACCTTTCTGAACAGCAGCAGTGTTCAGACTTCCTACTACGAAAAGCAGTGGCCAAAACATGTAAAAGAATATAGAAAAAAAAATGATGAGTTTTCCCTATTTTGATATTTGTTGCTTGCTTATTTCTCCCACTTATGATTTTTCCTGCCCCAGATCCTTCCTCCAGAAAACCAGATGCTCTTTCAGCAGCAGTCTGCTCCCTGCTGAAAATTTTAGCTTGCTCTTCTATGCAAGTACATATAAAGTATCAACCAGTCTTCAGTTCTGCTTTTTATGTAGAAAAGTGAGGCTAAGTCAGCCGTTGCTGCAGCTTTATGCTCTGAGGCCGTTTAAAACCACCCCGACAATTTTCCTTAAAAACCTACCAACTGCCCCTCTTCACTTTTGCCTCCACAAGGCACTTTGTTAACATTATACATGGGAGTTAGAAAAATTACAGTATGATTTTTCACTACTTGGGTCACCCCAGCCCAGAAGCTTCTTCTAGACATTTGCCCATATGCATATCAGCTGGGTTGGCAGAACGTATCCAGCTTTGCACAGTGTACATGTCTGTCTGTCTAATGCTACAGCGCATGCTTCTGACTTTCCTGGGTGAGGAAACCACCAAGAAGTGCCGAATGCTGCTCATAGCCCTAGCAGCCAAATGGAAATGTATCCACAACCGCAGTAGAGTAAAAAAATGTATAGGTGAACGGTGGGGGTTAAAACAGCCCTTCAGTAACTTAAAGGGATCTGCTCCCAAGACAAGACAATGACTAATCTTTTTTTCTTAAAAAACAAACAAACCAACCCTTCTTTCCATTTCCAACTGAAGGGATGTTTGAGCTTGTTCTCCACATGCATTTGCAAGATACACTACTGTCTCAATCATAAAAGTCTGCAGTGCTATTCAAACACCTACCGTGGAATTTTCAGATGGGCTCAGCACTGATCTAACTTTGCCTCTAATGAAGTCAATGCTGAAACTCCCCAAAACTGAGCACTTCCAAAAATCCCATCCCTAGGCTTTAACCACACGTCTGAGTTAACAGAATATCTATTTTCTCTCTCTCTCCTCCACCCTGCCCTGAACATTTTCAGTTAATTGTAAAAGCTTCCATAATTCTTTAGAGCCTAAAGGAGGTATGCCACAGGAGAGTAGAGCCATTTTGAAGAAGGCAGAAGAAAGACAGCAAGGCAGTGGAAAGTGGTTATAAGTTTAATTTCCTACGCAGCTAAAAATTACTTTAACTAGGAGAAGAATGGATGTGTTTCTATATTTTATTTTTAACCCTCGCCTCAAACTCAAAGGATTTATTACTTGGGTGAGGAGGAGGTTCTAACTTTGCTCCAATGCAACTTGGAATGTAACTAATATCTGGCAAGACCTACCAACCAGCAACCCTGGCTCTATTCAATCAGTAAATTATGCATCCAAAGATGTGCTCAATACCACCATGTCTGCATTTAATAGAAGAATAGAATTCAGCATTTGTCATTACCTTCTTCTTGTCTGCATTGCCAACATTGGCAAGAGCTATAAATCTGCTCACATGCTGCGCAGTCTCCTGCAGGACGACATGGTTTCTGTGGGAAATCAGATATTTTAAATGCATTTTTGACAACATTCAGAACAAGAACAATTCTTAGCACAAACTAATGTTTGGCTGATCAGTGGAAGTAGTCAGTAGGGAGGAAGATATACAGCATGTTGTAACTGTAGTAGGATTTCCTTCAAACCAAGTTGCCCAAGCAAGGCACAATCTGGGTATTCAAGTCTCAGTTCTACATGGTTTGCAGCTCTCTGGCTCAGATCTAGAACACTTAAGCCTATGCTTAATTGTTAGCAAGTCCTTCCACTGAAGTCGGCAATAAAACTCACCCGCTCACGTTAAGCATATACTTAGGTCCTCTGTTGAACCGAGACCAAAGTTTTCACTGCCATGCCAAATTTAGTCCGTTGTGTAGGACTTCTGATGGCAGTAGCTAGTGAGACCAGCTAAACTGACAACAGCTAGTTTAAGTGCAGGGGTGAGAGGATATTTCATATTTTAGGCCCTTGGCAGACATTACACTTAAGATAGGTTTATATTAACTAGTTAATCACATGTGGGGTCAACACAAGAGTCTTAGACTTTAGCCCTATTTTTACTTGAAAGATCTTATCACACTACACAAAAATGGCCTCAAATATTATTTAATCATTTAATTCAAACTACTAAAATAATTATGCCATTACTTACGGTTGTGACATTAAAATTCTGTTAACACTAAAAACTGTATTGGCCACTGTCAATAGCAGTCTGAAACGCATGCCCTTGAACTGAGGCTGCAAATAGTTCAACTGCTAACATAGCTGGAACCAAGTCGTTCTCAGCACTTGAGTGCCTCACGATTTGTGTAATAGTGATAAAAGGAGTTCTGTTAAGTCCATACCAGCAGTTACAAGATTTTTCACCCCCAGTTCACTGTTGACAGCTGCTATCAGCAGTAGCTCTGTTTCCCGATAAGAGTTGGTTGGAAGCAGATTATGGTCATAGTCTCCAAGATGCAGCATGGGGTAATCATTCTAACCAGTTAAATATTTTTAAAGTACTGAATTACAATGTGACCGTAGCAAATAATTTTAGAGTTTCTTCCCATACCTACTAGAAAGCTAGCTTCTATTATGAAATAACAGTGGTTTCACAAGTTCCGACATACCTATAAGGAAGTCTTTCATAATAGGTCTTCTCCAATGCAGCAAAGTGATACCTTGGCTTCAGACTTGTGGCTAGATTAGATACTAACACAGAGCCACATCTCTTAGTATCTATTTCTCCCTACAAAATGCAAATAAAGTTTTATTCTAAAATCTTGTGGGTTTGCAACGCAAAGAAAAGTGGTTCAGCATGGAATTGTGTCCTGTGCATGTTAGAGCCTGCCTAGATAGCCACTGTCGAGTAGCTGAAAAATGCCTACATAATAATGGCATCTTTTTCCTAATCAAGGGTTCAAACCTACTCCCACTGAAATTAACACCTGGTGACTGAGCACCACATCTGTTCCTTGCATATATTCAGAGATGTAACAGCAAAAATGAGTTTCTGCTTTTCATGTCTTCCAGTTCTGTGAAGCCAAACACAGCTGTGGAAGTCAGCCAGAGTCTGCTTCTCCTCGGGTATTACCATGACTTCTAAAAAGAGTTTTAACTACACGTCCTAAACTCCCCAGACACTGTTCTACCACTGTACTGCACACTTAAGTGGACAAAGCACATACTTAGGGTGTGGACATATGTAACATTTGAAATGCTCCAAATGCAGCTGCACTTGAAGCACTTCAGCCATAGACAGATATATAAGCCCCTGCCATGCCACTGACTGGAGTGCTTAAAAAAACCCAATCACTATGGCTACATGCAGCAGCATGCTTTCCAGGCAGGATGTGCAACAGGAGGCTGCTGTGACCTGCAGCTCTGCTCCCCCTCCCTCCTGCCACTGCAGGGAGTTGTTTCCTCCACAGCTACTTATGGAGTACTTCTATCATTTTCAGAGCACTTTAAAGTGCTATGTATATCTGCTCATTTGCATTTGAAACACTTTAAAAGGCATCTGAGGTGCTTCAAATGTTGCGTGTGTCCACTCCCCTTTATAAAAACTACAGGGTTGCAGATAGGGAACTGGATATAAATAGAGTCTTCATTACAGGGACTTCAAACCAGAAAAAGAGGCTTGTGTTTAGATTACTCTGTGTTTTATACTATTAACAGTAAGCAGGAGGGGAAGGGAGGAAAAAGAGTCCAAATAAAGTATTTTAAGCTTTAAATGAAAAAAATTAGTCGGAATTCACAAAACCCATGATGCCATTTTACAGTCACTTCTGTAAGCAGATGTTACATGTGCTCCAAATGTTAGTAGTCATCTGCTTTCTTAGTTACCAGGATTATGGAACCACAAAACAGGGTACAGACTTTTGACAAGGCAAGTCTAGGAGCTGTGATTTGGGGATGCATATGTGGGTAAAGCAAAAGTTTTTGGAGTGTCCTGGGAAAATATGGCCCTCTCTCTACCTGTTCCTGAAAGGAAAAAAAAAAAAGGGAAAAAATGATGCAAAGTGTTTTCCTTTAGTGAAAGCTCTTCTTTCATCTCTCTAATTCATCTGCTTTAAACTAAGAAATGTTATACAGCATGACAAAAGAAAGATGGGGACAGGAGGTAGAGAAACAGTAAACACTGCTTTTGCTAAGCTAATCATCTGCAGTAAATGAACAAGGAATAAAAACTGAAAGGGGAACAAACAAGCATTTGCTACAGGCCCTCAGCACAGAAGGAAAGAAAGGACTTCACGTTCCTGAGGTGCTCAAAATGTTGTATGCCTGGATATGTTGCAATGCACACAGCTAAACAAACATTGTCCCTTCTGTAACTGGAGAAATGTCATGTTCCAGAAAGCAAAGAACTCAAGCTAAGAGAAGCTATCCTTATGTACAGGCAGGAAAGAGAAGAGAACACAAAATTGGTAACCATGACATATCAGCATTCAGCATGGCAAGGAACAGAGGAGCAAAAAGTCAGAAAACATCTATATTGAATGGATCCCTCTTTCATTGGAATCCTTTAGACCTAGCCCAGCTCAGACATCTACAAAAAGTAATCCAGTCAGGATGAGTGTAATTTAAATAATATATCATCTTTATTTTACCATGCTACACTCTAGCCCTTCTTGAGCTTCTCTACATAATTTTTATTTTTATTTTTGGAATAATACTACCATATCCATAACGTATTTTGGGGAATCAATAAAACTAAGAACCCAACTAATTTATGTCATCAAGTGTTCAAGGTATGGAAATACACCCAGATAAACAAACTCTATCCTGCAATGATATCATGATAAACTATTATGATTTACACCCAATACTGTTTGAAATCCCAGAGTAAACAGGTTTTAGACACTTTAATGTTTTAATTTTGATTGTACAATGCAACTTTATAACAAAGTTAAATTTGCTTGGATGTCTTACCTACACAATTCCTATTAATATGATTGGCTTATGATATAATTCTAAAGCTCAATTTTCTGGGTTTATAGCATCTAGTTTTGGAATACTTACAATACCCCTATGATGCACTTTAATAACATCCCTATAGTGATTTTTATCCTAAGATTATCTACAACTTACTCAATTTTAATTCCATATTAATTCAATGTGTGTGTCAAAGTCACCATGGATTTTTAAAAATTAAATCTAGTATTAGAATTGTTAATAAAAAAGAGCCAGAGAGAATATTACCACGTGATGTCTAATACTTTGAAGATGTATGGTATCAACCTTATTTTTTATGTTAATATTTAGGGGCAAATTTACCAACATGCACGTTATTTTGTCAGGTACTCTCCAGTATCAATGTATTTATCACCATGGAGCTATAAGTGAATCCTTTAATTTCTAGCCACTTCTTATCTT